ACCACCGTGCATCTCTCTCTCTCTCTCTCTCTCTCTCTCTCTCTCTCTCTCTCTCTCTCTTTGTCTGTCTGTCTGTCTGTCTGTCTGTCTGTCTGTCTCTGTCCCTGCCCCTCTCTCTCTCTCTCTCTCTCTCTCTCTCTCTCTCTCTGTGTGTGTGTGTGTGTGTGTGTGTGTGTGTGTGTCTGTCTGTCTGTCTGTCTGTGTCTGTCTGTCTGTCTGTCTGTCTGTCTGTCTGTTTCTGTCTCTGTCCCTGCCTCTCTCTCTCTCTCTCTCTCTCTCTCTCTCTCTCTCTCTCTCTCTCTCTCTCTCTCTCTCTCTCTCTCTCTCTCTCTTTCTCTCTCTCAACCATTCGAAAATAACATCTCCAAAAAGAGAACTAATTTACAAAAGAACAATAATTCAACCTCGTTAGATGATAATAGATCGTATGTAGCCACCGTTGCGGTGAGTTCAAGGTCAGAATCTAAGACGGCTCCTTATTTTTCTCGTTCCTAATGCCTTCTCCCAGCCCTGTGTTACCCCGGGGTATCCATTGACGCTCCGAGTTCGGAGTGACCAATTTTATTTCTAACAGGGATTTACTCTCTTTCAGAAGAAAGCAATAAACATTCCACAAATACATCCATAAATGTCCAGCAAAAAATAAAGAAAAGAAGAAAAAACCCACGGGGGTTAAAAGGTCAGTCCGCAAGTTTTTCTCGGCAGTAGCAAGGCTATCATGGTCACAGCGCTAAAACATGTCCCGTACCACTTGACGAGCACCACTTCAACGTTATAGAAACGGCGCCGTGTATCGTTTTTCTCGTAACCTTGCCACCTCCTCCTTCTCCGGCCTCTCTCTCTCTCTCTCTCTCTCTCTCTCTCTCTCTCTCTCTCTCTCTCTCTCTCTCTCTCTCTCTCTCTTCCAATAAGTCTGTCTGTCTGTCTGTCTGTCTGTCTGTCTGTCTGTCCGTCCGTCCGTCCGTCCGTCCGTCCGTCTATCCATCCATGGAGTGATCAAAGGTGAACCGATGCATGGATGAAAAGAATGTTAGATAGCCAACCAGTGAATCTAAGCTTGGTCTAAACATATTTTTTGCGGACCAGGAAAACAGAATAATATAAAGGGGGAAGAAGACGGTCAGATAGTCATATGTGTCCGTCATGGACAAGACAGTATAGACGTGTCTGTGTACAAGTCAATGGAGAGACACCAGGAAGTGAGACAGAGGACCGGTTTTGGAGGAAAACAACATATACACTGTATATATATGTGTGTGTGTGTGTGTGTGTGTGTGTGTGTGTGTGTCTGTGTGTGTGTGTGTGTATGTGTGTGTCTCTCTCTGTGTGTGTGTGTGTGTGTGTGTGTGTGTGTGTGTGTGTGTGTGTGTGTGTGTGTGTGTGTGCAAGTACTGTTCTGATACACCTGTGTACGTGAATACGCTGCTTTACAAAACCTTAGCCTAGGGCTTTTAATATGAGTCATCTAACACCGAATGAAGAGTGAAGAAGAAATAAGATAAGTTTTTAGATTTCATAAGTTTGTTGTTGTTTTTTTCCTCCAGAACATTCCTCTGTCTGTCTGCCTCTCTCTCTCTCTCTCTCTCTCTCTCTCTCTCTCCCATACTTCTGTCTTGATCCCTTTTTTTTGAGTCTTGCCGACTGTTGCTCTCTTTCCTTTTGGTTAGCCTGACTAGTCTCTTTACTTGTTTTATTGCCCATTCGTTCCTTGACATCGGACGCCCAGTCAGATATCCGGTTTTTCCGCTAGACAGACAGACAGACAGACAGACAGACAGACAGACAGGCGGCGAGAGAGTGAGAGAAAAGAGAAAATGCGTCAGTGTAACTAAGCGAAGGGAACGGGTGCTTTATTTATCGCCAAATTGAGAGAGTGCACACGAGGACGGGAAAATCCGTGTTGAGAAGAAGTGTCCTTCTCTCAAGGGACATCGCCGAATCACTGGTCAAGGATGTGTGTGTGTGTGTGTGTGTGTGTGAGTGTGTGTGAGTGTGTGTGTGTGTGTGTGTGTGTGTGTGTGTGTGTGTGTGTGTGTGTGTGTTTGTTTGTGTGAAAGTGTGTGTGTCTGTGTGTGTTTTTAGTGTGTTTAGTGTTTGGAAGGGAGGACAATATTGGATGAATTTTGCTTGTGGATTTTCCAAGGTGCTTTTGACGGGTTTTCGTGAATGACACATTGTCACGCTTATAAAAGAATGTGGGTCTGAACTCTGAGGAAGGGATAGAAACACGAGTAGGGAAAATAATTTTGTCGTTCATTCCGAAGTTAAAGTAAATGAGAGGTCAACGTTATTATTATGACGTAACATAACACAGTGCATGTTGAGGTAAGACACGGAAGGATTTAAAATAAAAACTTCGACATGTGTGTTTTGGATTGGGGGGGGGGCAGAGAGGGGGAGAGAGAGAGAAAAGAAAAGAGAGAGAGAGAGAGAGAGAGAGAGAGGGGAGTAGCAAAGACTGATATATCTATCAGCATCTAGATTCTTACAAGTACACAGCACCATACGTACAAGTCGACTATTTATACGTGTACAACGGGTAAAACAAAGAGGCCTAAAACAAAGGTAACATGATAGATCTAGATCTAGTCTAGAATTTAGATTTACGTGAATTAGTTTCTCTTTCAGGTCTACCAATGAGGAAGATACCTTGAATTATGGACATTCAAAACTAGATCACTAAAACCAAACGAAAAGTACCGATTTTGATTCTCAAAACGTAGCACCCCACGTACCTTTTCGAAGTTTCACGTTTTCAAAAGGCAGGCTGGTCTCAACACTTGACTGTCATGTAATTGTTGTAGTTTCGTTGAACACAAAAACAACAGAAACACACCACACCCGGTGGAATCCTAATCCTCTTGAAGTGAAGGTCCCGCTCCCTTCGAAAACACCGCCTCTCGGTATCACGGACTCGATCGAGCTCTTGTCCCAGCCCACAATATTATTGTGCTGTGGTTTGTGGGCTTAGCGGAGAGGCGAGTTGTTCGTTCACACAAGTCACTGCAAGCGTCTGTGACTGCCGACTGCTGCTCTGACTCTCGGTGGCGGGAGGCCAAGCGAACGAGAGAGAGAGAGAGAGAGAGAGAGAGAGAGAGAGGAGAACGGGGTGGGGTCAAAATTATGACGAATTGTGAGAGTGTGAGGGCGGGGTGCACTGGTGCACTACCAAAGAAAGAAAAAAAACACCTCTGAGACGACATAGCGAATGCGGACTCCAACGTTGACAAGCCTATGTGATTTGGCCTTTTTATCGTAATATCAAGTTAATATTGGAAGTTCACACTACTCTTACTCCGACCGTTTTCATTTTTGGCGTTATCTGCACCAAAGCTAGGCCTCTTGTTAATATCAATAGGCTCTCCTCCTGCTTCTTTTCCTTATAGTAATAGTAACACCTCCAATCTTTGACACTTATGACTTATGACATGACCTTATTGCGTTGCAAGTAACGCACAGTCTTACTAAAACTAAATTAAATATTGTAAGACTGGAAACTCATTATACGAATATATAGAACCTAAATGAAAGGATCATGATTGCTCGAGCATTACTTTTGTTATTTAGATCATTACATACACGTGTGAATAAAAAAAAGCATTCTTCATGAGTGGTGTTTTTTACTCAGTAATTTGCGCCTCCATTTAAAAAAAAAGGTTTAATTAAAAGTACAGAAAACAATTTGTAACCTCATCCCCTGTAAAAACACCAGTTTTAAACTTTCCAACAGGATGCAGATGGTGCGCCTATTTCGAGCCACCCAGAACTGCACCAACGACAACACAATCAGAAGAACCCGTAGCTAACCACATGTAGCTCTTCCTAAAGGCATGAATATTTTTGGGTATGTGCGCCCATGCCATGTGCATGTGTTTGTCCGCGTATGTGTGAGTATGTGTTTGTGTTGATGTGTGTGTGTGTGTGAGTGAGTGTGTGTGTGTGTGTGTGTGTGTGTGTGTGTGTGTGTGTGTGTGTGTGTAAGTGAAGGAGAGTGGGAGAGAGAGAGAGAGAGAGAGAGAGAGAGAGAGAGAGAGAGAGAGAGAGAGAGAGAGAGAGATTATGCGCTCGCGTAGGCTTCGTAAGCTCTATGCACGTGTGCTTGGGTGTGTGCACGTACATGTACATGTCCGTTTATGTATGAGTGTGCGTATGTGTATTTGTACGCGTATGTGTATGCGTACGTGTTTGTACATGAGCGTGTGCATGTGTATATTAATATGTGTATGAGTATGTGTGTCTGTTTGTGCAGCTGGCAAAGAACGGGCTGACCCCTATCGTTGATGTTTACCTCGAGTCGTTACATCAAAAGAACTCGAGGCAAATTTTCATAACTTTCTTTCTTTAATCAAATCCTTTTCACAAAATGATCGGCACGCGTGTGGAAACTGGTAGGCTGCTTTAGCCAACAGAAACACATTCACTGAACAGATAAATTGCGAGGTAAAAGAATTCTGCTTAATCATGGTTTTTCATAATTTTTATTTTTCATTCTTGGTGAGAAGCAGGGCCGGATCGGGGTGGGGGTTGGGGGGGGGGGGGTCCTAAGCCTAAAGGCACAGGTCCTGGGCCACCCATCAAGCTAGGTGACCTCCCACCAATATAATAATAATAATAATAAATGACATTTATATAGCGCTCAACCCCGAATAAAGTACACAGGCTCTGAGCGCTTTACAATACAGTACAACATACAACAGTAACATGAAACGTTGTGTTCTGACTAAAGAAAATTATTCCAAATATTCATCTTATTAATTTAAAAACTGAAACGACTTCAGCTGACATTTGAATGAATCAAAAGATTTGATTTCTCTCAACGTACTTGGTAAATCATTCCAGATCTTGAGGCCTTGGTATTCAAATGCCCTTTCACCCATTGTTTTAAGTTTCATAGATGGTAAAATTAATTTCTTTTTGTCAGCTGATGATCTTAAACTGCGAGTTGGAATGTACAGTCTTAACAGATTTGATAAATATGATGGCGCATTATCATTCAAACATTTGTGACATATGGTGGCCAACTTGTACACAATCCTTTTCTCAACAGGAAGCCAATGCAAAGTTCGTAAAAGAGGTTTAGCAGAGTCTCGCTTTCTTTTCCGTAAAACTAAACGTGCTGCATTGTTTTGGACAGTTTGAAGTTTTTTAACTTTCTCCAGTGATATATTCCTGATAACAAGGAGTTACAATAATCGAGTTAAGATAAAAATTAAGCTAGTTACTAGTAAAGCAGTATACTTGGTATTGATCAGATGACGTATTTTACTAATTTTTCTTATTTCTAAATACATGCAGCTGATCAGATGATTTACCTCAGCCGACATTGACTAATAAGAATCAAAATAGATTCCAAGATTCTTAACTTTTCTTGAAAATAAAATTTTTGCATCACCAATTTTAATGTGATCATGGTCAACCTCTTTAACAGACTTTGCATTGCCTGCCAGAATGACTTCTGTTTTATTATCATTTAACATTAATTTATTTTTGTTCATCCAGTTTTTCACTAAGGCAATACAATTTTCAGCACGATGGACAAGTTCATCTAAGTTGGTAAACAATGTTGAACCATAAATTTGGGTATCATCAGCATAGAAATGGTATTTTAAGTCATATTTAACTATTTCCTTGACAAGTGGTTGAGTATAAATGGTGAACAAAACTGGACCGAGGACTGAGCCCTGGGGGACCCCATACTTAAGAGCATGATCTGATGACTTAAGCCCTTTAATAAAAACAGATTGGTAACGATTTGATAGGTAAGAAGAAAACCAGCTAAGGGCAGTCCCGGATAATCCAAAAGACACTTCCAATCGCTTCAATAAAATGTGATGGTCAATTGTATCAAAAGCTGCTGATAGATCTAAAAGGCTCATATATACAATGTAATAGCACCGAGTCAGTTAAACTGCGTGGATTTGACTTCAGTGACATCATCAGCGACTTTACTGTACAAAAAATCGATAAAAGTGTCTGGACTGTAATGGTTATAACGCCTTCCATTCTCTGATTTGAACAAAGTTTTTGTTTGTTAGTTACACTTTATTTTTTCAAGAAAAATTTAACAACTGTATAACTGAATTTCTCTGGGTAAATAAATTTGGTCAGAAACGCTTGTGTCCACTTCATTACCATTTCGTGTTATGCATGACATAATAATATTGTAACATAGGATCAGATTTTCCTAACTAAATGTTTCCTATTTACATAAAAATATTTAGGTTACTAGTTTAAATTGTTGGTGTTTGCAAAAGGGGGGAGTCGGAAAGGGGTCTCCCTTCCAAGCGGGCCCATGCCTCTCACTTACGTAATAAAATCCAGTCCTGTACCTTGAGCAATCATTGCTTTTCTGATAAGGCTTGAAAAGACTACATCAGAGTTGACTTAATCCTTTTTTATCAGGGGCGACTCGTGGGGCTAAAAAGTGGGCGTGCACAATAATAATTAAGCTATGGCATGCTGAGGATAGTCAAGGGCATAGTAAATGAGACGGTGTATAATTTTAGGGTCTTTGGGTTGGTGAGGGAGGGCCTCGTGGTTTTATTTTCATTCTTTTTACTTGTCGCTTTGATTTCTAGTACTAAATTTGTTTGTTAGCTAAACATCAATTTTGTTAATCATGTATTGAAACTGAACACTCAGGTACATGTAATAACTTTCACTACTCCACTACAAAACCATTCAAAGGCACAACTCATAGGACGAGCTAAAGCGCGTGGACTTTGACATGGCATAGTAGATGTTTTACGGCGCTATAGACATAGAAATGACAGTTATGGCGCCAGTGAGGTCCTTCGTTTTGATATAATATTTGGCTAGTGTTTGTTTCTGGCTTCTTTTATTTTATTATTGTGTATGTTTTACGTTATAGAACATTAAACAATTTTGGGTGGCACTGCACGACCGTGCTCTATGGACGGACCGCGCCTACTTTTTATATATTACTATTTGGATGACCTTTCATGAATTAGAATTCAATTGTTTCAGGAGGATGTTCTCGTCGTATCCTTGAAAAGTCACTATCTTTAGGTGTCGTTATGGTCGACGATTTCAGGTAGACACCAAAAAACCCCAAAAGGTATAATGTACACAAAAAGGTGTATACATAATATCACACACACGCACGCACGGACACACGCGCGCGTGCGTGCACACACACACAAATACACACACACACACACACACACACACACACACACACACACACACACACACACACATTATTAAA